TAAACCTTCCAGTGGTGACTGCAGTGCAATGAAGTGATCACCTTTCATACCCTCAGAGACCGAAGGAGACGAAGGTTGCTGTCCTTTCCGCAGAGTCGGTAGTGGGAGGAGATAGTCCAGGTGTGGGCCTTGGGCTGCTGTGCCCCCGTGCTGGCCTGGGGGAGAGTACTGTGCTAACAGAACTGCTGCTGCCCCCCTCCTTCAAGGAAGGGATAACCCAGTATAGCTGCTGCTTGTAGTCTGCTTGCCTTTCTGCCTCCAGCATGTCTGTGGGATCCCCACAGAGGCGAAGTGTGGAAAGGGAACTGTTCCTTCAGCAGCATGGGAATGGGCATCTCGGGGTGGGGATGGAATGTGCCTTCCCTGTGGTGTTATGCAGGCAGCATCCACGGCGTGTTTTTGAGACCTCTCGGGGCTGATGAGTTTCAAAAGATACAAGGCCACGAAAAAAGTATGAGTTTCTGTTTGTGTAAGTTTAATGAGCCCTTACTAAAGGTTCAGTGCATAGACTCCGACCTGTTTCACTTCAAGTGTCAGGTATGTTTGAACTTTAAGTGAAACATTAGCTAACACATGTCTGGATTTTTTCCTCCAAGAGGCCCTAAGTCTACAAATATTTTCTGGGATGCAAGTCCTTTACTCAGTTTTTTCATGACTAGATTTTGACAACTTTTGGCTGTGACACTTTTAGTGTCTCAAGTAAGTAGCCAGGCTGGATTCAGCCCATCGTGTGAGGGGGAAGGTGTCTGCATCCCCTGGAGCTCTAGCTGCCTTCCTGGGGGAGGACTTAAGCTTTAAGGGGCATGTTTACTGAAATGAATTGCTAGCAAGTGGAGATGTTCTGGTGTCTGCTATGGGGAGTTGAGGGGGAGTGTGTGTCAAGTCTCAAATCGGTGCACTTGAAGAAAGAGAATGGATTAACAAGATAGTTGTTTTTCCCCTGCCCCCTTTTTTTATGACCCCTTTTAAAATTAAATAGGGAAGATGAACTGCTGGAAGGTAAACTTGCTCAAGCAAAAAAGGGAAAGGCAGTGTCTGCATCCTAAATAGACTGAAATCACTAGCTATAGTAGAAGTAAAATTGCGTTTAGGTGAGTATCCTCAAATAGTAGGATCTCTTTTTCACAATTGCAAAATTTGGAGGATTTCATCAAGAGGGACAATTGTACAGTGAAGCTGATTAGACACAGCTGTCAAATCCACTAAGTAAGCACTTTTAAAAGTTAATGAAAGATTATCTTTTTTTCGTTTTGCATATGTGTGTGGAAAAGAAAGGAACTTCTTACTTGGTATGGTGGAAGGGATAAGACACACAACTGTGTATTTCTATATTTTGATTATTACCTATTACAAATTGACTAAATCTAGAAGATACTGCTGGCCATTGTCCACCTCTGCTCCATCCCTGTGTGCATGAATGTTTTGGCAGAGTCTCCTGTAAACAGGATGTGGAGCTGTCGGAGCCCTGTTTGACTGCAGTTGTCGGCGTTTTGGAAAGTGTGTGGACAAATTCTAGCTGCTTGTATTGCGTGTGTACACGTGTGCAACCTTCCTCCTTTTCTTCTGCTGAGATGCTATTATTTTAATCTCTTTGAACCTGATCCCAAAGACCAAATACTCTGGATTAAACGCAGCATGTAATACTGCCTTTTGTTTTTTTGCTGTTACTTTTCCTGTGACGTTAATCTTGAATTGTTTGAAACAGCCTTAGAGCTGAGTAGTTACTCTGTGTTTCTTGGTAGTGCTATATGAACAATGTGTTAATGATGCCTTACTATGCGTGTTATTCTGGTTTTGAAAAAAACAAGCATTGTTCTGATGCAGAGTTGAGAGGCAGATCCTGGTATATAAATACTCCTGAAATGGAGACACACTTCAGTGGAGGGTCTCTAAATGGGATGCTTGAATGGTCTTTTCCCAAGTAAATAAATATTGCCTCTTACTTAGTTTCAAGAAACATGGCACACAGCTGCTCTTTACTCCTTGTTGTAAAATAATGGGCCATTTGCTGACTGAAGCAAGCTATTGCCGTTATTGTTAGCAGCTGCTGAACTCTTAGTGTTAACTTAAAAAGCTCATAAATGTTAATCGTGTTGCAGTTTTGTTAGAGCTTGCTGCATATCCCAGAGGCACTAGCTAATATGTCACACTTTTTTTTTTTTCTTGAACTGATTACATTTCTTAATGGAGATTCCAAATAGTAACTTCATCATTCAGTAGTTTTACTGTAGTTTACTGTGATGGCTGAAGTTTCTTCACAACTGCACTTTTAACTACAGCTTCAGTAGTACTAGTATAGCTTTATTTAGACATGTTTCAGTAGGCTCAAAGCTGCTGAGCATGCGGTGGAATGAGTACACAGTCAAAGGGAATATGCTCTCTGCTTACTGACCTGTTATTTGGAGTTTGGTGACAGTCAAACCCAATTCTAAACCAAACAAAATCTGTTCAGTTTATCCTGTGCTTCAGTTTAAAGTCACTTTCATAATGTGATGGTTTTGCTGCTATAGTAGTGTGAAAAGTTTACAGGAAATGTAAGGATTGCTACAGAAATGTGTGCTAACTGCATAATAAGCAATTAAATAACGTGTTGTGGGCTTTTAATTGTCCCTCTAACTCTTCAGCCAGTGGGAATGTGTTCTTAAAAACAAGACAAAGCTCCCAAACAAATAAATCTGTTCCTTCCTTCAGGTCAGATTCTGATAGTATTTTCTCTGTAGAAAACACTGGTAGGGTTCCAGAACCTGGTTTTGGGCCTGTCAAAATGATTGCTTTCATTAGTGCTATATTTACATACATAATGAAGTAAAAGCTGCTGTATTGTTGCAGGAGTTTAACTTTTTGACTTTAATCATTGTGAAGGTCAGAAAGAGGACAGTGTTGTAGCTAATGCATGCCATATAGAGAAACTATGCTTACCGCATCTAAAATCCATTCTTTCATCCTTACTTTCACGTGAGCATCCAGTGGAACTTCTCTCTAGGGCAGTGGTATGTGTTTACCAGAACTGTACTTTGTGCCTAGAGGCTATATACCCTACCAGACTAGTTGAAATAGCAGTTAAGTCTGTGCTTCTGGTATCGGCCTGTGAACACAAGTTAACTACAGTGTCACCGTTCCTGTACAAAGCTCTATACTCTGAGTATGTGGATGGTGCTTTGGTCAGTGTGTGTATGTTGTTCCTCTTTAGAGTTCTCTCTTAGCTGCTTTCAGAGGAATTTCTGTCCCTGAAGAGATGTACAGGACAGGGACAAGCATTGTGGACTGATGCTGAACACATCCTGCCTTGTAAGGTGGGAGGTCGAACTTGAACTGGAACATCTTGGGCTTCATGCAAGGAAGTATGGTTTAGAGTGTGGAAGATCATGAACAGGGCTGAATTTTTTGTGGTTGTTAAAGTATCAAACTAAAGATATGTAAGGCTAACACAACAGCATACAGAAATCTGGGAGCAAGGGTTTGATCTCAGAACATTCAATCATCTTATTTCCAAGGACAGGAGTAAATGTCACTCTTCTTCGAGTAGGTGGATGTGAGAATTTTTCTGGACTTTTTCCTAAAAGCGCAGAGAAAGATTGGATGGTACATGATCTAGTAATTTTTGGGTAGAAATGAAACCAAAAACCTTCCGGGAAAGTAGAGGGGACTCCAGATTGTGTGTGTGTGGTTAAGTTATAATTACATGACTGATATTTTGGGAAAGGGATAACTGTAAAAAGATTTCTTGATTTTTTTTGAAAACTTCCGAGCTCCCTTATTTGTAAAGAAGCGGCGTAGTTTGTTACAGATAGTATGACCATCCAGTGTCAGGTCTGGTCACATCTTCTTCAGTGCTTTTCAGTGGTTGCTATGTTTGTTTTGTTTCATGGGGTGGGTTTTTTTGCCTTGCTGTCTGTTGTTTTTTTTTCTCCCCAAAAGGTCCACCTAAAAATTCTACTGTTGCCCTTTAATTCTGTCCAATCTACATGCATGTCTCATGCAGCAGATCTAGACGGCTTGCTGAGATTAGATACAACTTCAAATATCCAGAGTGGTACTTAAATGAAAAAAGAAAAACGCTACACTGATTGAATGTCTCTGTGACAACCGTATGTGCCTTGGTTTTGAGTCTGAAAGTATGTTCCTTGTGCTGCATTCTTAATAGAAGCATACTCAAATGACTGAGCTCAAGAAGTGAGTTAAGAAAATGGTGACCTGAATTTTGGTTCTCTTCAAGAAATACCTTATTGTGGCTGCACTCTGAGTTAAAACTCAGTGTTTTTTCAACCACATGCATGTATTTGGGCTTTGGTGTGAATTGGATGCTGATGAAAATAATAAATTACTTGATGAAAGTTGTCTGACACATGTAGAGAGCTGTGTACCTGGCGAATCTTGGCTAATGCTACAGTCCTAAAGCTGATCTCTGAGATCAGTCTCTGGACCAAAAAAATAAGATGCACAAAGAAACAAATCCTCCTTAGGAATAACCTTTCCTTGTTTTTTGTTTGATAATTCCGTGACCCTACTGAAAAGTCTGAATGGATGACCTAAATGTTGTTCCAAATATGTGATTGTTCCAAGTCTCTGAGCAAAGGAATAGATTGGTCTTAAACAAGAAGGCCTGCATTCAGAGCTTTGACTTTGGATTTGTAGAAGATTTGAAGAAAGTGGTAGTTAAAGGAACTGGCAGAACTTAGAAGCAATGTGTGGTGTACACTGTTAAGGATTTATTTGCAGCTGTACAGTTTGAAACCCAAAGAGGCTAGTGAAGTGCCAAAGAAGTGCTTGCCTACCCAGCTGGGGAGGTACATCACCAGTACCTTCATATTACTTGTGTGACTCTTAACTAGGAGGAGACGCTCGAGTTTATTATGGAATAACTTAGTAGATCACTTGTGTGGGGAGAAGGAAAGCAGTGAAGAACTGAAGTATTGAAAGGTGTAAAAGAAAGGTTGTCAAAAATACTAATCATTCTTTTCTGTGTTTGGGTTTTTTTCCTCTCTTGCAGACATTCAAGCGCGAACCACCTTGGTCTATTAAGTTATTATAAACTTTTGCTGCTCTGTGAACATATAAAGATGTCTCGCAGCCCTGATGCTAAGGAAGACCCTGTGGAATGCCCCCTTTGCATGGAGCCTCTGGAAATTGATGACATCAACTTCTTCCCTTGCACCTGTGGCTACCAAATCTGTCGTTTCTGTTGGCATCGTATCCGCACTGATGAGAACGGACTTTGTCCTGCTTGCAGAAAGGTAAATATCCTGGAACAGCGACTTGTCTTGCACATGTCTCAAGGCTCTTGCATTTGTTGGTACCAAAGACATCCTTTTCCTTCGGGGAAACGTTCATCTAGGCATGGCCTAGATCAAGGGTGAGGTGTTGGATCTTTCACATTCTGTCTGCATATGTGTCAAAGCTGTTGTGCAACGGCTAGTCTTGGTTTGTTAAATTCAGAACTGGATTAATAGGGGATGCTGTGGATCAGAACCAAGGCATGCTGATGCTGGGAGAACTGCCAAAAAAAAAATCCTTTGAGTTGGGGTGCTCATGCATTGACAAAGTCTTTTCAGGAAGGACAGTGAGAATTCCAGCATCAGGGGTTTGCTGAGGGCCAAGGTTCAGCTAAAGCTAGCAAAGCTGTCTGAGGCAAGCTTATAAAGCACCTGCTTGTTTTGTTTGTGGCACTGGAGCTTTTAATCCATATTTTTCTGGACGCTAAATGTGTAAAACCTTTGGAACATATATCCAATGGTGTTAAACTTTAAAGCTTTTAAAAATCGAGGCAAAATCTATTTGTCTAGTATTCTGATCTTGTTGCCAAATGCTTAAAGGTAGTACTTTGAGAGTCACACTTAATTTCTCCCTGTCTCTTAATTGATGTCTGGCTGATACTTTGGTTGGCCACAACTATGAACTTCAGCTTCACTAAGTTGCCTGCTCTTTACTTTGAATTATTTTCCTCCTCCTTTTAGTGTTTTGCTTAACCTCATTATTTCCTTATATTCAGTGTTTAATAAAACTCTTTCTTAGTATATTCTTCTCTTTAATGACTTCCCTCAATTATAACTTTCTTACCTGGCCTTCCTCTTTTTGTAATCGCTGCTACTTATGTCCCGTCTTTCTCCAGCTACTTAATCATGATCCTATCCTCAGTTTATGCCTTTGTTGGCTTCCTATATCATATTACAGCTCCCTTTTCAGACCTCAAGTAATCTTACTTGGTCTCACTATTCACTGCCACAGCTTTCTATAACCACTTCCAGTCATATTTTTCTTGCTGCTCTTTTGGGCTTTGGCTACACTAGAGCTATCACTGCTAACCTGTGTTTGGATGCCTCTGCAAGCCTGAAGGCTATCCCACAGCAACATCTGTTTGTTAACAAATTGTGCAAATTTGCTGCGATATTTGAGCTGTACGTTCTACAAGGAGGATCCACCTGTCATCAGCCAAATCGGTCTCCACATGTGATACCTGCTGTAGATGACACGTTCTGTATACTAATTTTCATAGTACAAGCAAATTTTTACTCTTCTGGTACAACACGAGATTTCTGGAATTGCCTTGTCTGTAAGTTGCTTCATTTACCTGGATTTATTACACTACTTTTTGACAACAACTATTTGATTCATCTTTGCCGGTTCGTTGTTAGAAGTTTGTGGAATATATCTGAAAAATCACAGAAGCAGCATGCTATTCACTGCCTCCGGGTATCTGAATTTTGAAGTACGGACACTGCCACAGCCGAACTTTGTAATGAGGAACAATCTGGTGTGTGATTGGATGTGCAAATATTTTGCTGAATTGGATACAGTTTGCTCAGAAAAACAATTTCAGGAAAAAAGCTAGAATGAGTGCTACAATTGGAATGCAGCACACCAACCGTTCCAGGAGACCTTTTCTTTCACAACGGACGAGGATTATATTCTTGATACTTTCTTCATCCATGGACTGCAAGGTGTTCGTTAGTACCATAGGAGATTTGCATGGAGGAGGCTGAGGGGTACACTCCTTTTGTGGCATAGACAAAGACATTGTGGTGCAGACACCTCATCAGGATCTCTGGAATAGATAATTTTGAGCTATACAGTTGATGGCAGCATCAAATAAGTCTGAAAAAGCCACCTTTTGAAGTGTGCTGGACCTTCTGAACCAGGTATGTGTTCATGTGCTGTGTGTTTAAATAGTTCTTATCTGGGTGTAGTAAGGTTTCTGGGGAAAAGATCTAAGCAGTTTTCAAATTCATATCTACTATAGTATGTATTGATTGCGACCACTTCGAATGCTGAAGTGCAGAAAGTGGCAAAGCAGCAAAGTTTTTGTGGGAAAGTTTATAGTAGGTACTGTGGTTTCAACAGGTATGTCGTTTTTACGATGTGTATACCAGTGCAGGATACTTACTGCAAAATGGACCATGAATAAACATTAAAGCAAGGCTGCTGAGTATGTTATGGACAATTACATAATAGAAAACTGCTATTTGTGCCAGTGGTATCGAATGCGGTGCAAGTTCTCCAGTGATTTGCTCACTAGTCTGTGGAGAGGAGCAATGAAGAAGTTCCTTATCCAGGGATTTCGGTTGAAGGGTTTGGGGGAGTTTTTGGCAGAGTGTGATAAAATAGTTTGGCTATACGCTATAGTGGCGCCTATGCCATTTTAACCGTGCATTGCATATATACCATTATTTTCCTAAGCTTCTCTAATTTACTTCTAGCCAAAAAGATTTTATCTTGCAGTTTTTTCTACCAAGGAGAATATACTTGTATGTACTTGAACTGTTATATAGTTTAACGTTTGCACCTGCAGAATATGTTCATGTGGTTGTAGTCAATTGAGTTAGTGTGTCTTAAGATTCTTCCTGTAAGTAGCAGTAGTAGACAAACATTTGCTTTGTCTTGATTTGTGGAAGTAAGGTGCTAGTATGAATTTAATTGAATGCTGCTTAGGAACTAGTCTTAACACGTTAAAAGCTTTCTAAACTTTGTCTGAATCTTCCAAAATAGACTGTGAAATTGTTTAATTCATTAACCACAAAAGTACTTCCTTAAAAAGTAGAGCTGACCTGCTTTGAGTTCCTGATGCCCTTCAGAATTGTAGGTGTAGTCAATTGTAAGATGCTAAGCAAGCCTTCCTGTTTTTTCCAGTCAATTGATTTCTTAACTGTGAGTGAAATAGCTGCTAACTAGTCAAATTAGAATGAAAATATGCTGTCCTCAAAAGTGTCTTCTGTAGCCAAAAGCTGGTTTACAGGTCACTAGACCTGGTTCTGGTTGTAAAGGCAGTGATATTTATCTTTGCAGTGATTTTTCTGTTGTTTTCTTTAAAATTCAGCAGCTTAGATTGTCGTATGAATAATACCTACCGTTGCAGTTGCTTGTGTTGCTTTAATAGAGCATAGCATTCTCAGGCCTTAGTGTCAGTCATTGCAATTTTTCAATCTGACAGTAAAAAAGTGTAGCTCTTTCACATTTCTTAATTGTTTTGCCCTTCAACCAAATAATATAACTTGATGCACAGCTGTTCCTGTGGTGTGGCTTTGCCGCCTTCTCCACTTCCTTGACTTGGCGGGCTTTATTCCTCCTAGCACCTCGTGTTAGAGATGGAGAGAAATAGTAAACTGCTACGTTTATGACCAAGAAACTAACATGCTTTAAGCATGTTTTTGTCTATGTTTCTCCTATTCCTGTTTTTGTATAAAAGGAACACCTGGTCTTAATGCACAGCCTCCAAATGTCAGTTGCTTCTGGTGCTTGTAATCCTGCAACGGAGTGTTTTGGTGCAACAATTAATATTTAGAAATAGATAGGAAAATGTTATTTTTTATAAGTAGTATGGTGTATACTATGCATAAACCTTATTGACTTTCTCTCTATTTCTCATTTCAGAACCTATTCGGTAGCAAGGCAACAACTGGGAAATGTTGGTACAGCCATTGTGTGGAAGGAATGTGACCCATCTGGGAATGACAAAAGCAAAGTGCTTGATAAATCCCAGCTCAGTTTTCAACAATTGGGAAAATGTGGGGGAAAAAGTCTGAAAGAAAACAAAACTTAAATGACAAGACAAACCTAGTCAGGAAGACTGAGAATTCATCAAGGGCCATCTCTGATTAAAGAAACGAGACTACAGAAGAGACACTTGCACTTTTGGTGAAGTTCTTGTAGGACTACCAGCAACTTGCAGTTAGTGTAAACAAAATCTGGTCATTGTCCCTGTTGGCACATCTTGTTCAGGTGGCTTCCATGGTTTTTGCTGAAGAGGATTTGTGTAACTCATGCAAAGGGTGTTAGCTAAACTTAGTGAATCAGTGATGTTGACGTCTCTTTATGTCTGCATCGGAAAATACATAAATGCTGTTAACACTTGATGTAGTTACTTTGCTTGGATCTTAAGTCCTCTACTTGCTAAGGAATTGGTGATAGTAGGTTAAATAAGTATCTTCTGCTTCTTGTAAAATGGTCACGTCAGTAGCATTGCAACTTTAGCTTTTCCAGGACCTGACAGCTTCTGGTACCTGTCATCCTTCTCATATCCTTATTTTGCAGGGTTGGACAGAGTAGACAGATGAAATGGTACTGTGAGATACACCAGCAGTCAATCCACCTTGCTTGGCCTTGAGCCATGTCCTACCAGTCTTCGCTGTATGTGTTCTGTCTATAGTTGAACTGTCACCTGAGTGCGTGAACTTCAACACTGTGGGACGCAATCACTCTGAACATAAAATAATTTATTGTCTTAATTGTAGATTGAGTTTCTCCTTATTTGAAAGTGACAGGATTTCTAATACTTACTAATTTTTAGAATTAGCTTCTGAAATGATGCTGTGCTGCCTTGCCTGCCTTCCGCCTTAAACGTGCAGTGTCTCTTATCTGTCATCATGCTACACATTGCATATAGACAGGAAAATCACTAATCGGTTTTTAGGATTGTGTTTCTTTATTCTTGGGCTTCAAGAGGTGCATGCGGATTCATTTACAGGTCCTGTAAGTCAGGATATCCGACTGCTCATGTTCCTTAGCAGCATTAACCATGTCGTAAGAGTGATAAATATATATATGAAACATTTCATATATAATACACCTCTACAGTATCTAGTGAGAACTTTTTAATGATTCTGTTGCTTGAACAAGTGCTGCTATCCATGGTGGCAAATCAGCTGCTGCTGCTTCTTACTGACTGAAATCCTTATTCGGGTGGTCTCATACTTTCTGCTGAGATGAAGACATTTCTCTTCCATGATTCTGAAGCTGCACTTTAGTTGTGTGCCTCCCAGCAGTTCTTGTGCTCTCCTGTACAAATACAAACTACTAGTTTTACTATGGACAAACAGATGTTCTGCTCAGGGTTATGCCTGAGCTACTCGGGTTGTTGCCTGACTAATGTTCAGGACCTCCAGTAGCAAATAGCTGTACAGAGAAGGAACATACTGTCTGACTTGCTTCTCATTTGAGAATATGCTCTGAATGTGGCTATACTTGGCAAGAGAGAAGCTGATGAGCTTTGGCGCTGTTTGCTGTAGTTTTCTTGAGGAGCCTTCAGGAGCCTTACTGAGCCTGCTGAAAACCATGAATTCATTTCTTGTGCAGTACTAGGGAGCAGCACACTTGCAGACCTTGTCTTGCATTGTATGGGATGTGGAGAAGGAATTAATTTGTGAAAGGATGGATTGTGGGTGTGATACCACATCACTTGATGTAAGGCGAACCATTTTGGTTTTGGAACTATATCTACCTTGTACTTGTGCACTTGTCTTTTTCCTATTCCTACCTTTACTCAGCTTGACTGTGATAACGGAATTAACTCTCTCTTTGCCAAGCAGTCTTTCTCTTCCCTAAACCGAAACAATAGCTATTCTTTGTTCTACATGATTGACTAACAGACTTTGAGAACTCTTTAAAGAAGTGCATTGCAGAGCTATTCTGTATCTCTGAAGTCCTCATGTGTACATGTGTTAAAACTAGAGATAATCATTGGCTATAGCTAATCTCAAATGACCTTACTAAAAGGCCATTGCTGTTCGTCAAGTACATTGTGAAATCTGGGTAAGATATTCAGTGTTACTTGTGAATAATATAACTTTTTAAGAAATGATATGGCTTTAACTGTTCTTCAAGGGTAACATGAGTCCTTATTTCTGTTTTCATGTTAAGGACTTGGTTATGTACCTTTGGCTACTCTAAAGTATCTCACAAGTTTAAATTCCTTTGTGATACTAAAAACATGTTCCAGAGAACTTGGTGTTTTACCGTGAGATGCCATCTGCTGAAGTCAACTGCAGCATATTTTCAGAAGTTATCTCAAGTGTAATGTAATGATGCTGAACTTTAAACTCTTCAAACTGTAAAATGGGTCTTGTTTTGTTTGGGGATGTACTTGGAAGAGTATCAGGTCTGAGCACTTGGTGGCAAGTATGAGGAATATATGCTGTTGACCTAAACCTTATTTTCATCTGCTCCTGCAGATTTTTCTCAGGTCACTTAGTATGACAACTAGTTTTGTATTAACGGAGAACAGTCAGGAAAAAGTTAAATTAATTTTTGTTGGACTTGCACACTGAAACCTTTGGTTATGGTAGTACAAGCAAAGAACTTGGTTCAACATATTGGTTAGCGTAGCTTCTTTAAGTCTTTACCTTAATGCACATCTCTGGTGCTGTTCTTATATTTTACTTCATCTCAGTGTTTAGAAACACTTTTTGTTTGAGAAGGTTTTTGAGAATATACTTGTTTCTGTACTTAGCATTGCTTTGTATATAGTGTGAAATCTAACTTTTCAGTCTGAGAAGACGGGGACAGGTAAAGAATATGGGACTGCTTTGAAGATTGATCTTGGGCTGAGGGCAGTGCACTGTGGTCTACAAGACCAGGCTAAAATAGTGCCTTTATAGCAATGCTGTGCATGAATAGAGCAATCTTTCTAGGTAGTTCTGAGGACACTTGTACTTCTGCTAGACACTTTTGAGATTAAAATCTAGTGTTATGTCTGTGTTTGAGGAGGTATCTGTAGGTGATAATCTCGAGGTTAAAAATGCACCTTTGTCCAGGGAAGACAAAGCCCAAGTTTCAAACTGGTACAAGGCATGGCAAGAATACTATTAAATCTGTATGCAGTAACTGTCTTGAAATCTGTCCCTTCACTAGAACTTAATCATATAAACATTGAGCTGTGTAATGGTTTTACTGTCTTGAACTTGGTATGCCACTGAAATTACACTTGTATTTTGATTTCTTATCCTGTAGTCTTTACTTTAACACACTTAAGTATCCAAATCTGTATCGGGCAACTAAATATAAAGTGAATATGCAAGGCATGCTTTCACCCTGCTTACTATGCTACGTTAGTGAAATCTCAACAGGATGTGTTGGCTGTCATGTTGCAGCTGCTTGTAGTGTTACCAAACTGACTAGGCAGCTAGGTTAGAATGTGTGTATTGCCCAAATCAGTACTATGTCTATAAATAGGAGACTTCCATTAAAATACACAAGATGCTCACCTTTCCCAAAGGACTGAATATGCTACTTCTGTAATGTGGCTGGCTGTAACCATTAGAACAGTGGAACAGAAGAAAGAAGTTTGTGTATTAAAACATTGGGATTAATGATTTTCAAATGTTGTTTCTTTATATGGGTTGTTTTTAATGGTATTTGTTATATTTAGCCATATCCAGAAGACCCAGCAGTGTACAAACCACTCTCCCAGGAAGAGCTGCAAAGGATAAAAAATGAAAAGAAACAGAAACAAAATGAGAGGAAACAGAAGATATCAGAGAATCGCAAACATTTGGCCAGTGTACGGGTTGTACAGAAGAACCTTGTCTTTGTGGTAGGGCTGTCTCAGCGCCTAGCAGATCCAGAGGTGAGTGGTTCACGCTTGCAGATCTTAATTTTAACTTACTGTCAGGGAAACATTGGAATACCCTTGTGCACACCTTTGTCTAACTCTGGTGGGTACAAGACGAAGCAGCATTGAAAAGATTCCATGCTGCTGAGGCACCATCTTCTTAAGGGAACCTACTTAGCTTCTTTCTCTGGAATAACCTCAATAAGTGTTTATGTCTTTGCTTTTGGGAGTACGGATGCTCTATGTTTTTGTTAAGGAAATGGTTGTTTGTATTTGTTTAAAAATGGCTTGTTGTTAAGCTAAAAATAAGCTTAAGGATTTTTTTTTTAGGTACTCGTTTTCCTAGGCTGGATCTGCTGGCACTATATGGCTGTCTTCTGCACCACCAATTCTAAATTGGGAGCTTGACTGGATTGTAAAGAACGAATAAAAAGCGTAGGACAAACCTGTAGGACAGAAGAAAAAAGCCAGCACTTGAAGTGTAACTAGGGAACATAAGGGTGATGTCAGTTGAGAGGAAAAAAAATTAGTAAGAGGAAGACCCAGGAAAGAGGTGGCTTGCTACTCTGCATCATCAAAAAGAAGCTTTTCATTTAAGAAAACTGATTGTGTTTAAAATGTAAAGAAAAAATAAAAAGAAATTTACTTCCATCAACAGTCAGTTGCAGGTGGCTAATGAAATTAGTACTAATGAGTAAAACTACCTTGAGTTAAGATATGGAGGGAATGTACTGCAGGATAAGATAGATGTCTTCAAAACTGTTGTGCCAAGTTAAAGTCACCTGATAGGACCAAATTGCCTGGAAAAATCTCAAATAGAAGTGGCTGTTTCTGAGGACTTACGCAGTATGGGCTGCATTTTGGTAGACGAGGAAGGAACAATTGTAAAAAGCTGCTTTTAGTGGAGGGGAAGAAAAGGAGGGATATGAAGGGAAGAGAAAAATCAAAGTTAAACTGATCTGGTGTATAACGCTTAGGTTTCTACAAGAATACAGCAACAAGTATTTGCAAGCAACTGTCAACTGGCTTGATACTATCTATTACCAAAAAATGTATTCGATTTCTTTGACTAGATAGAGGAGTTGTGAATAAGAGAAATAGTAGTATATACAGTTTAATTTTTTTTAACCTCAGATAATTCCACACTGAATACTTGAAGTAATTAGGAGTGGGTTTATTGGTGTAGTAAGGGGGAGGAGGGGTTGTACTAGGTTTGGTGGTAGCAGTATTCTCACTGACATACCAGAAGATAATGTGTACTTACTAAATATTGCATATAGCACCAAGATTACTTGATTTCCAAGAAACTTAGCCTGAAAGAGAGAGAAGAGCTAAAAAAAAAAAGTAGCACTCAATACATTCCACTTAAGTTTTCCATTTAAGTAAGCAAAAAAACTCCTGCACAAATAAAGATTATTTGGAAGGGGAGATTGGCTGCTGTTTGCTGTTTATGGAAATAGATCTGCGGCTCATAGTGGAGTACAGGTGGATCCACTTCTGTTGACATGTTCTTGTGAAAGTTGTGAAGGCCATGCTGCCATATCTTATCAGGAGTATAATCTGCAAGACACTTGGAAGCTCTTGCTTTGCTCGGGATTGTCAGTTTCCTCTGGAATAATGCCCAAGGATGGGGTGTAGGATCTTTCAAGAGGATGTAGATCAACTGAAGAGCAGTCAGAAGAGACCACTGAGTGACTGGTTGTCTATACAAAGCGCCCTGTAGTTCTACAGGAAGTTCCAAATGTGATTAATGCTGTTAGATCTTGAAAACACTGATGTTTCCTTGAGAAGGGAGAGGAGGTGGTTAGCTAAAGAAGTACTTGGATCAGTACAGTTGAACTGTACTATCTAGTGTTAGTATGAAGACGGAGCTGGGGAAAAAAAAAATCTTCCTTTTTGACCTCTCGGGTTATTGTCTAGAACTAGAAATACCGTTAGCTTATCTAGCTTCAGGCTGAGTAGTCAGTACTTCTGCACCTCCTTCCATCACGGGGATAGAAAAAGAAAGGCTTTTGGTACCAAATGTGTCAGATATATTGCCAGTTCCATTGGCACACAGGTAACTGTTATTCAACAGAGTTGCTTAATATGCTAGAGATGTCCCTGCTTTGCACAGGATCCCTAAATGGTGTGTTATTAACTGATGCAGGGAAGGGCAAGACAGGAGTATTTCTTTTTTTTTCTTCAGGGATGTGATATTCACTCATTCATTTCAGCATGATGTTGATTTTGGAATGTGTTTTCTTGCCCCTGGGAAGTGTCATATATTGTCTTCCTCTACTTAGTCAGGTCTTCTGAAAACTTGAGGCTACTTTCAGCTTATTGGTTTACTGTCTTTGGAGTGGAGCAAGTGAGTCAGGATTCAGCATTTTGTTACTAGCAGTTAATATACCTGAACGCAAGTTTAAGGTGTTTTTTTTATCTTAAAACAGGAATGAATGTGATTTTTTTGATTTTTTTTTTTGATTTTTTTTTTTTAAATTATAGAATAGATACAGGAGTATTCCATGCTGAATGGGATGTATCTTGCCAGGGTAGTGTTTGGGTAATCAGAGTACTGAAAGAAGCTTAAAAAATACCACATGAAATGTGGAATATCCCTCATTTAAGTTCTTTACTCAAGTGGTAGCATACTCTGTATTGCAAGTAACCATGTTTTACATTGGAAGACAAATCTGCATCTGTGTGCTCTTCTCATTGTAGAAGAGACATGTGTTTTAGTTAAAGGCTTTAGTTGCACAGTTACACAAAAGAATAAGTACAGCCTTGTATAAATTAACTTCCCAGTGCATCACTTTAACTTTCTTCTCTTGTAGGTTTTGAAACGACCAGAATATTTTGGGAAGTTCGGTAAAATACATAAAGTTGTCATTAATAACAGCACATCATATGCAGGCTCACAGGTAAGTTGGAGGCCCTTATGATTTTTTTATTCCTTTAGAAAAAATATGTGTGTTCAGAGTGAATCTGGGGCTCCCTATTTCTGATTAAGCAATAGGTTAAAGTGGTAAAACAAAACAACAAACAAACAAAACAGACCCACAACACTGCAAAAATCAAATTACTGTTATGTTTCTGAGGCATTATCCAACTAGACTCTCAAAGTTGGATGCAAGATGCAATGTTGAAGGATAAAGAACGGGGAGACAGGATGAGAACCTTCAAAGAAGCAGTAATGGGGCATTTATTCACTAATCTGCATTTCAGGGGTGAAATATCTTGAAGTATTTTTAGAACTTTCAAGCAACATTTTGTTGCATTTCTTCTTTTCCCCATTCTTTATGCATCACATCTAAATTTGTATGAATTCTACGATTCTTGGCACTTTTCCTGTTAAACTGGTATATTCATGGCTAGATGTTTTTATGAAGTGAGCTGCTAAAAAAGCAACTTAATGTTCAGATCTGTCTGGGGGAGAAAAAAATAAATAAAATACAGTATGTTGTGTTTTTTTTTTTTTTTCTTAGGGTCCAAGTGCCAGTGCATATGTAACCTACATCCGGTCAGAAGATGCTCTCAGAGCCATACAGTGCGTCAATAATGTGGTGGTAGACGGCAGAACACTTAAGGTGGTAATATTTTCACATTCTTAGGTATATGTGCTAGGATACTAGTATCAGTGCATGGTATTAAAATTTTATTCATATACATATGCTTGTGTTGATGAACAGAAATGTCCAGATTATTGGGTATTGGGTTTTGACTTGTTTTCCTAGCATTAATCACAACAAGGAAGTTCAGTGAGGTTCCAGCAGGCAATGCTTTAGGGGGTTAGCAGGTAACTTCTTAGAACAGAAGTTTGAGACAAAGAAAGAGATTATACCACCTCCCCCTTCCCACAGTGGCTTTTTTGCTGTATAGCTTAATAGCACAGTGTGAAAACCTGATTATTTGCTTTTACAGAGCATTTCTGTAGTCCAAACACCACACCTCTCAAAAGCTCCCTGGGAAATGCAAGTTTTTTCCTTTTGGTATCTGTGTGAACAGGTATTCAGGCTGACTTGGCCAAATTGGTGGCTATAGAAAATCATCTAGTTAATATTCATTTCCTGACCCTGCTACAAAACATTAACCAGTTTCATGTAATACAAACTCATAACTGCTTATTTGGCTTCTTATGATTATGAATGCAGATATTTACTGAGGCTCTTATTTTGGCATTTATTTAGATTAGATGAAAATAGGAATACATCCTAATTATCTAATCCTCAAGATTTCTTATAAATGGACTTTCTGGTCCATCTGCATCAAGAAATGCATTATGATGGAACTCTAAATCTTGGGAAGGAATTTTTTTTTTTCAAATACAACTTTTTTCAAATACTGCAAAAAGCATTCTTAATCTCCAGTACTTAAGTAATGATTTTTTTTTCTTCAGGCATCATTAGGTACAACAAAATATTGCAGTTATTTTCTAAAAAATATGCAGTGTCCAAAACCAGACTGCATGTATCTACATGAACTGGGAGATGAAGCAGCCAGTTTCACAAAAGAAGAAATGCAGGTAAGTGTAATGAATGGGAAACTCATGAAATGTGGCATGTATGTATTTTATTGTATATCATTTAGTCTAATGTGTGTATAATATAGCCTTTTGCTGAATGTTATGGCAGAGATTAATTTTGAAATCCAAAATGTGATTAACCAGTTGGATATTAGAAATGAGCAGTTAAATTTTTTCACTGCATGCTGATTTTAAAGGCTGAAAAGTGCACTGAGTGTTCATGAGTCAGAGAGAAACTCTTAGCCAAGAATTCAAGTAACTTTGAGTTAGTGACTTGCGTGTTGCTGATACCAGTGCAAGGTAATATGTTATTTTAAATCTCTGTGAAAGAAGTTAGTGCAGATCTGGGTTTTCCTGTAGGTTTTGTGTGTGTGGCCAGTTATGGCTTAACTATTGTACTGTGATTTGACCATGCTATCTGAATTCTGATATCCCTTTTAGCCTGGGAACTGTTTGGAAATAAAACATTGAGGGATAACTGTAGCAGAGCATAAATACTGATGCACGGATATTTTTATTTTTACTATCTCAACATTAAAATGCTTCTTTTCAAGGGCAGGGAAGCAAGTAAATAGATAGCTTTACTTTCTCAAAGGGAGTGCATTCGGACATGTTTTGTGTCTGGGTCTGTGCCTCTACGTGAGGTACGGTAAATCTTTTAAACTCAAATCTCAATTACATCAACTTTGCATCTATTCTGTAACTTCTGCATCTGGTCTGTCCATGAAGCAGGTGGTCCCCATCCCTAGTGCTAGCACAGATATTGTACAAGTAGATGTTATTTCATGTGTTAGGTTGCTTTAAGCCAGAGAATAAGGAAGAATATCTGTATCTATTAAACATTTCTTTCTGCAAATTAGCAGTTATTTCTGAGGATTTCAGCTACTTTCTCATAAGTTAAAAAAAAAATACCCTGCTGGTTCAGATGAATAGTCCCTGTAGTATATATTTTGTCGCAGATAATGGCAATAGGAGGTAAAATACAAGGAGAACCTGCAAACCAGGCCACCTTCCCTGTTCATTTCCCTATGTTCTCTCCCACCACCTAGATCTGTTATGTTATACATGTTTGAGGGTATGTTCCTGTCTAGGCTGCTTAGTTTTTTTTTTTATAAAGCTGTCAGGCATTAATTTACTTAATCCATTTTGAACCTGCTGATACTGTCAACCCTATAGTCTCTTGTGGCAGCAAGCCCCAGAAGTTCACCAGCAGTTTTGTAAAGTGCTTTCTTTTGCCCGTGTTAAACTGATCTCCAGTTAGTTTTGTCAAGTGTCCTCTAATCTTAGCGTTGTAGTACTTGCTGAAAGCAAAACCCTTATTCACCTTAATCAGTTGCTTTTGATGCTGTAAAACTTGATTTATCTCTCTCGGACATCTGTCCAAATCACATGGTTTCTGGGCCTTCAAACTTGTCGGTAAAGCAGTTCCTCCCCTTCTGTGATAATTTGTTGCCCTTTTCTGTACCTTCTAACTGTGTCCCCCTTGAGATGCGGAGGTCAGTCACATTACACTCATGATGTGGGGGAAGCGAAGTTTACTATAACAGTCCTCAGTGTTTTCTGTGTAGTGTGGTGTGTGGTTTGGTTTGGTTTTGTTAGACCTTTTTAAGTGCCCTTCTTAATGATGCCCAGCACATTTTTTGTTTGGTTGCCAGTGTCTAATCAACAATTTCAGAGATCTGTTGGCAGTAACCTCAGTATCCCTTCTTTGAGCTCTAACAGCCAGTTCACAGATCGATAGAGCATTAGTGCGGTTCAGGCTACTTTTCCCACAGCGCGTTAGCTGACATGTCTCTGGTGAAGCTTACTTGCCACATTTACTACCCAGAGAGCTTGGAGTTGTCAGCAAAGAACTGGCTCTTCGCTTCTTTCTCATACATGATGATGGTGTTGCATAAAACTGGTGCCAGTCATCAGTCCTCATCGCTTGCTTCTGCACACTAAGAGTGACTAGTAAGTCCTACCTTTTGCCTTTCTCTCTTTGAGCCAGCTTCAATCCACACAAGAACCTTTCATCTATCCCAGGGCAGCTTTGTAGACTTCTAGTATGAAACCCTATCAAAGGCTTTTTTGAAAATTCTATGGATGGTCTTTATTTATGCTTATTGGCACTATTGAAAATAGTGTTAGTGAAGTAGGATTCCCCTTTGCAGAAGATGTTCAGATTCATTCCCAGCAGATTGTGTGTTTATCCATTAACTTCTTTTTCTTTTTTAAGATAGACTTTATAATCTTCGGAGGGATGGAGGTTGAATTTAGCATTCTGTAGTTCACAGGATCTTTTCCACAGCCCTTTTGGTAGAAGGCAATGGCAGTCTGTCAGTCCTCTGGCCTAACTGCCAGTTAAAATTGATAGGCTACATACCTTGGCCAGGAATTCAATTTCACATGTGAGTTCCTTCAGAAGCGTTGAGTGGATTATACTTGATCTTGGTGACTTAAAAGAATCTTCATTTCCTGTTCCTTGTTACATTCCTTGAACTTTCTTCTTGATTTCATGTTGCTTTCTTGGAAAATACACAACTATTGAAAAATGCATTGTGCTTTCAGTGCACCAGCTTTCTGGAGTTTGGGTTAATGTCAATGATTTTACACGTTCATTTAATGAGACTGAGTGTTCATTGTCACAGATAGATTCCCTAGTTAAAAACCCAAAATTGTCAATAGATGAACTTACATTCTAGTTAAATAATTGTTAATAGAGCTAAACATTGTGACAAACTGAAAAGAACTGGTAGAACTGTAGGAGGTCTCTGAAAGTGAAGTTGGAAATTTAGGTAAGGTAGGTTGCTGAGTTTGGCCTCTGGATTGCTTAAATAAAGCACAGTTACTGGAAGCTCCCATATAGGATTTTAATCTTCTTTCCTACATTTATGTGACAAGTAAGCGAGCTGAGGACTGACCTGATATTCCTGTCCATGTTGTTCAGTCTTTTGCCACTGAAGGCTTAAACAAGATGAGATATCTGGGGAGATTTCTTCTTACTCAGCTGCTTAATGTTTGCAGTGCAGATCTGTGCATCTGAGCTAGTTGCTTATATTCTATTCATAGTGGATGGCAAAGAAAGCATTTCCAGGGTGCATTATATCTCATAAAGTTTGCATTTAGGTGAACGACCCTCTAGAATTATACTTTTTTCTACTGTAGGTAGTAGCTTGGGTGTAGACACTGACAAAGCTGTGTAAGATGATGCGTACACCAGATGTTTCAATGTTGTCCTTCTTCGAGGGTTGTGTAGGTTGACTACGTAGAAAGACATGTTCAGAATTGACCATTAATGGAGAACTGGAGAATTAAGTAACAAAAAACTGGAGATATTTATAGTGTTTGACTGACTTAAGAGTATTCAAATGGATTATGCCGTTGCCCTTCTAAAGGAGCCCATAAGGGAATTTAGTTTCTCAGCAGTCCTGTTTTCTGAAACTTGTTAAATATTCCTGCTTAATTTTTTTTTAAAAAAAGCAAGTAATATTTTTCTTTTAGGTTGTAATATTTTTCTAGGAGGATGACCACATTGCCTGTGCATCAGTTCCATTCCTGTTCCAACAAAACATTTATAAAGGGAATGAATTAATTAATGTACAAATGTTAATTTTTAGGTGTACAAGTAGTGTGAGAGCTTTTATATCAATACTGAATATGTGATAGATAAAAACATATGTGTTCCAGACTTAAGGTTCAGAAGGCCTGACCATAAATCTTGGCACTTGTTTCCATTGCTAAAGGACATCTCTGAGTTATCTGGAAAGTCTAGATAAAAGCTATTGACAACTTCAAATTCACTGTTATATTTTGCATCTTGAGTCAACTCATTACAGTACTTAACTTGCAATTAGTAATTCTTAGGTTGGAGTGCTGTAACAACCTAACAAAAATGTGAATGTACGTCTTGAATTTGTTTCACATGTCACTTTAAATGTTGGAGTGGATCTTGCTTTGCTTTAAATATTTAGCCACAGAATGTTATAGATAAGCTAGGCTGAAAAATACTTTCTTCCTTCACTCTCCAGATTCAATATTCTGGAGTTGGATTGGGCCCCCTCAATTTGTGAAATCAAGATATTGTTCTCTATTAATTTAATTAGTTAAAAAAAATTACAATTTTTCAGTTATTAAAAAGGATGATTTATCAGTTATTGCTCAGAATATACTCCTTGTCACATGATACTTAACACTCAGACCACCGCATCTATTTTTATTAAGCTGATATAAAATGACTTCTGTTTTCAAACTTCTGGTTTAGAAGAGAGACTCTTTGCTCCTTCAATCTTCTGAAAATCTTAGTATGGTTGATGTATCAAATGCAGACTGCCTTGGAGATTTAGCAGTTTGTGATTTAGAAGGTATATTGTGAAACTGTTGATTAGAAATGAAGAGCGCAAGTTCTGGTGCGATTGTAACTATTTCTCTGCTTTAGAAGTCTCAAAAAAAATGGTAAATGTATCCAAGTGATTTCTAGGCAACCTTTAGATTTGTTGAGATCATGTCTGTGCTGTGACTGGGAAGCCCTGTTTTAAGTTTCAGTCAGGAGTGCCCTGTGAAGTTATTAAAGCTCAATTACTAAACTTTGGAAGGTACATATGTACATTTATATACAGAAAAAATTTAGTATCTATAAAAATAACTATTAAACCAGTTTTCATTCATTGTGAGTTTCTCTTTCCTTAGGCGGGTAAGCACCAGGAATATGAACAGAAACTACTGCAAGAATTATACAAACTAAACCCCAACTTTCTCCAATTATCTACGGGTACAGTTGACAAGAACAAGAACAAAGTGACAGCACTGCAGAGGTACGATGCGTAAGTACTGATGCTGGACTGCCTGGCTATGCTTGCTTTCTTGTTATTTCAAAAAAACCCCTTTCTTATTGTTATTGCATCCCCTAAGTTGTCTGCTCTTTTTAGTGGCTATTATGTGATAAACTCTGCTGGTTTTGTCCATGCAGACACATATGCACCACATTGTTCTACTACAGAGTGAGTGTGAGTCTTGCTCAGTAACGAAATGTTTTTCTGCTGTGTGCATTTGGATCACTAGTTCAGAATGAAGTATTCTTTTTGTGAAAGAAGACCTTGTATTTTCTATTTGCGTAAACATGTTCATTGAAAAACAGATATCCATGTTCTTGGTATGTTGTCATGATGAACGCAGTCTGTACTCGCACAACTGAGACACCTTGTAGTCTTGATATGTGTGCTTTATTGTGGTTTTTTTAGATGGTGATTTATAGTGCAGTCCTTACATTAGGTGTAAAGACCTTAGAAATTAAAAGTAAAATCAGTTTTTCTTTCGTGCGAGTAAAACTTCACGAGATGTGAATAAAGGATTTCTTCTTTCATCTAGTAAACTTAAATGATGTATTTTTCACTATGTTGTAATTACAGCTATCACAACTGCTTGTAAAAATAGTACTATCTCAAAGTAGTTTGTTCAGCAAGTTATGGAAGGATTTCTGAACATATGAGTACGTAGTCATACAAAGATAAATGAAAGCCTAAGGTCATCAGTCCTTATGTGAATTAGCCACTCGAATGTCGTATTTAAGATAAAGAAAAAAAGCCTGTTAACAATTTCCTCCGTTCTTTTCATAATGAGATGGGCAGAGTGGAATGTAAAAATTAAATTGGACTTTGCAGACACTTGGCCTTGTACTCAGGGTTTGTGTTGTGTGCCAGCTTATCCACTACTGAATTTTTCAGACAATAATTTGTCACTGGCAGCATCAGTGCACAACAGTTTAAGCAAGAAAGTGGGTACTGTATCTAAAATATTGCCAATGGAGCTTGAATAAGCAGAGTTCTGAGAACTAGTATCCCAGCTGGTGTGCTGGGATTATTTTATTTGCCTTCTGGAGGAAGTATTATATGCTCTTTGACTGCAAGAGGTCAGGACTTCCAGTTGGATCTTTTCTTAAGGACTGTGCCACATCTTAATTTCTTGGGCACTGGCTCGATATTGACTTGGAAGGTAGAGTGCAGACAGTAAAGCAAATACACTGCTTCCTGCATTTGGGTATTGATTGGTTTATGTTCAAAGTCTGAACTAATCTTAATTTGAAACCTAATTAGATCACAGCAAATGATACCAGTGAGGGAAGAATGCTCTATCTGAAACTGCAGCAATGTTTTGAGCCTTCAGAAAGCAATTATGAATTGGAGCTTGGCCCCTCTGTGGTGCTAACGTTTTGGCAGTTGTGGAAAAAATGGCATGTTACTCTAAAGGCAACAAGTGGTCTGGAGTTAATGTCTCTTGTCAGCTGAACAGCATCTCACAACACAGACTCTGTTCTTTGATAATGGCTAGGCACCACCTTTTGGGTTGCAAAGTGAATTTCTTCTTGGAGCTGGGCTTTTGAAATGTTTCTTCAAGTCCTGTCTCCTCAGGTACAAAATGCAGCTTGTGAGCTGGTGAATGCATGTTGTTCTCCTTCACAGCTTTCTACCCAATTGAGTTCCCATTTTTGTCCGATTCATTGATATTAATATTTCTGTCAGTTTATCAGAGTCTCTGACAATTTTGTGGTGGTTTTTGTGTTTCTGGGCTGCAGGGTTTCTGTTTCTGGAATTGAACAGAAGTTAACTTCTAAACAGTAGATGTTTAATTATAAATATCCAGTAGAAACAGCTTCTTAAAGTGTGTGTAAATGCACTTTTTTTCGCAATTGTGTTCTAATTTGAAAGGTCTTACTTGCAGACCTTTTTTTCTTGCTGCTGAAGGCAAATGTTAAAATCCCCAAGTGCCACTTTGTGTATGTGGGTACTCCTCTCTTGGTATGTCACTTGGTAGTCATAGTGACTGCATTCACTTATAGTTAGAGGTATATTTCACATTTAAAACAGATCAAGCTCTTTGTTTGTTTTTTTTTCCCTGCTGACCTTTTCCTAAAGAGCTGAAACGAATGCTTTCTTATGCTACAAGTGGAAACATTTGTTAAGCACTTGCTGGTCTTTTAGAGAACAGCCCTTCAGAAGTATGCAGCTTTGAACTTCAAAAAAACCCCACATGCACAAAAACCCACCCCAAAATACAAACCAGTTTCTTTCTCTTTACCTTGGATGCAAAACTGACTTTTAACTGTGACACTTTAAATTAGTTTTGGTGTAGAGATGGCTTTGCACTGCAGCGGATGTAAATTTTGGCATTTAAAATAAATCTGTTAATGAATTGAAAGTCTTGTTATAGCTAGATTATAGCTCAGTTTGGTAAGGGTGAGAATATTAAATGACTGACATTGCTGTGTTGATGAGCAATGAGAAATAAAGACATCAATATCAGATCAACTCACTACATCTAACTTATTTCAAATGTGTGCAAAGCAAAGATGAGATCTCGAAGTTCAGATCAGGGCTCTCATCGGTACATATTGTATAGGTATGTGAGAAAGATGGAGGCAGAATAGCAAATCTTATAATATTAATTGTGATTTGAAGGTAGCTAGTAATACCAATTTTATCTGAATAGGAGCAGAAAACACTTGAGTTGCTATAAGCAGCTATAGAAAATTCCAGATTCTGACTGTGAACTTACTAAATTGACTGAACTAAAGATGTAGAGTAAATGTTGGACCAAGTAATAAGAACATACTAATGAAGGGGGGCATGAGGAGGATGTACATAAAAAATTTTTTTGGAAAACTTGTTCGTTATGATGACAGCACTTGGACACTAAAAACAGCATCCTAATTGAAGCAAATGAAAAGCTAAAGTTAACGTAAAAGAACTGGAGAAATCTCTTATAGTAAGATTGTAGGGTTAGCAGATGACACACTGGATTTGAATGCATTCACTTATAGATGATATTGCAGCTCACTTCAATTTGTATAAAGTAACTATTTTCAGCAAAACTTGGGCTTTGAGTCTTCTTCTTGAACTTGTTTCAGATTTAATGTGCACTCTGAAGTGAAATTTAGTGTTACTGTATAAAAGGGATGTAATTATTACTTTGAACTAGAGATGAAGGGAGCAGTAACTTGAATGAACAGTGTGTTGGTCTGACTGGTCTCATGGACTGCTAGTAAAGCTATGGACTCTTGTGCAGGCTTAAAGCACAAACGTCATCTGTGGGGCCAGGCTTGATAGAGCCTGGAATACAAAACATTTATTTATGGAAAAAAAAGAAGTGGTTTAGATCCTGATTTACAGAACTTAAAAATACTTATGGGATAAAGCAAATAATTCTAAATGAGACGTGTGTAGGTCTGGATATTTGAAGCTGTCAATGGATTTTTTTTTTAAATTTTTTTCCTCTACCCCAAATGGGCAAGTTTGGACTTCAGCATTGGCAAAGCAGCTATCGAATCAGTGAAGAAAACTGATTTCCCCCCCCAGTTTTCTCTCTCCCTACCCCACTAATTCTTTTTTTAAGTCATCACCATTTAAAATCTGAGAAATAATATCCAGATAAATCTATTCTTATGGATTGTCTGGCACAAGGATTCGTTTCCCCTGTGATTACAATTTTTAAAAACACTTCTTCATAACTTGAACTCTTCTTTTTTTTTCCTTTTTTTTTTTTTTAACTCTTGCCTTTTTCCAGACCCAACAGTAGTAACAAAGATGCCTGGCCATCATTACAGAGTTCAAGTAAATCAGCCAACGGTTTAACAATGGAACACAGGAAAACGCCTCCTATATTAGAAAATGGCACAGACCCAGAACACATGACTCCAGATGGTGCAGACTCAGATTTCGGGTAATTGTGCTGCCTTTTATACTTCAGATAGCTTGCTTTCTCTCTCACTGGTTGGTGTGGAGGGAATAATTCTCCAGTCTCTCTCTCTGGTTGGAGAGCTGGATTCAAATCCTGATCAGGTCACAAAAAGCTGGGCTTAGCCTAGCCCATGTCAAAAAGACTGATTGGCAGATCGTACAGGAGAACCCTAATGCAAAGTTAGTAAGTGATGGTACAGGTAAGGGCTGAGGGGAACTGAGTAACAGGGACATCAACAGCTTATATAGCTGCGTGGTTCCAGCCAGAGCTGAGCCCTTTCTATACGGAAGCTTCCACAAAAGTTCCTATACATCAGGAGGCTTGTCAGTTTGAAAAGCATCAACAGAAGGAAGCTAAACGTTAGGGCTGAATATCTGTCATTGCTTTACAGTGGTGTGTTCCAGAAAACACAACTGCAGAGGTAAGGGTTCCCTGGCTATCACTCAGTAACACGAACAACAGGGCAGCGGACTCAACTGAGGCTTATTTGTGCAGAGAAAGTAATTCATCTGCTTGCAATAACGTTCTTACTGCCAACCAACATTTTTTCCTCTTTTGGTGCCCTTTTTGAACAGAACTGGTGTCCTCTTCCATCATAAGTGTCACTTGCAGTTCCAACGTAGTCTGTAGTCATGCTGTTTTGGTTTTTTATGGAATCCCTTAGGTAATACTGGTTGGGCTCTTTCAGAGCTTGGTTGAAAACAAGGTAAACACTCAAAAAGTGCTGTTGCCAATTAGGTAGCTGATATTCCCTTTAAATCAGTATTGAACCGATGCATTAACATTGAGTGCTGCTGAAAGTAGCGCTTTCTTGTTAGGCTTAATAGCAGTCCTGTTGAGGTGTGGTCAGAGATCCTATGGTTGAATCTCAGTAGTAACGTGCAGATTCCTTCTTACCCTTTCAGAAAAGAGTGTACTAAATGTAGGTAAAAATATTGTTGCCAGTAGATAATGAAACTTGTTCATTCCTGAGGGCTGAAAGCCTGTCTTACAATTAAAGGCTCCTTAGTCAAGTTCAAATATAATAAACATTTTCAGCACTTTTGTCATTAAAAGTTGTCTGACACATAGCTTTTTAAACCGCAGCATTGTGATGTTCTGTCAGCAGCTCTGGGAAAAGAATTTGGGTGGAATATCAGCTCTACAATCAGAATGATTGTGTAGTGGTCTACAGCAAAACTTTGTGCTGTAGGTATTCGGAAATTACTAACCCAAGGCAGTTTTTTTCCAAATGGAAGAACTTTTATTTATGCTGTTCAACCACTGAGTAAAGAACATTACTCCAGTGAAGGTTTACAAATACTTTTTTGCAAGTACATTCCTCTGATTTTTCTTTTGTAGTCATAAATACTTCGGCTTTAGTTATCTTTTTGAGATACTGACTCAATCAGTATTCTTTTGCACAAAAATTGTTTTTATTGATAGATTACTCTTTTTATACAGTTTCTTTAGAATGGGGGAGAATTAATTCTGCTGAGTTTTGACTCTAATTATTCTGCGATGGGGAGAACAAATTCTGGGCAAAGCAATCTTACAAATTTTTGACCTTGATTTGTGGTTTTATATAATATTTAAACTTCACAGCAGCAAGGGATATTTGAAAACAAGGTGTAGCTAGAATCTGAAGTCTGCACTCAGTTAAAATAATTACTATATATATATTTGTCTTGTGCAAGCACATTGTGCCTGTAATTTGACTTGTATCACGTTCTGGCCTCTATAGAACTGAAATTCTTGTTCTTACTTTTGGTCCTTGTTTGCAGGACTGGTGTTTTGGGCTGTGCGGCCTGGTGCTTGTGCAACTTCTCTTATGGGTAGATAAAAAAGAAAATACCTTGAAGTTGTAAAGCAGAGATTTTTAATCTGAACTTGAACTAATACTGTTTGATTAGTGTGGTATTTAGCATAATTAAGGCAACCTTCAGATGCTTGTAAGAATCTTGAATCCTGAGATGTGCCATTTCAGCCAAGTCATGTTAATTCCCAGTGAATAGCTTTCTGAGGTGACTTTCTGCTGTATGTGATCTTTTATTCTCTTCACGTTTGGCAAGTTTTTTATGCTATGTCTCTTCCTGCATTTTTCCCCTTCTGTCATCTCAAAACTCAGTTTTCTTACCTTGGAACTAATTTCTGCTAGTTAAAGCTTGAAGGCTGGTGGGAAGCTTAACTTGCCATCAGGACTAAATAGTTAATTTAATATTTTATCTCTCCCAGGATTTATTTAGGACTTATACGGGAACTGTCAGCTTAGATATTTGGAAATCAAATCTGTTCCCAAGCTTCTTTCAAGTAGTAGCATAGATGGAACTGATACTACGGAATACTGCTGTAGTACAAGAGTTCTGGTCTTTTTGAATGGCATAGAATTACTATGAACATGTTTAAAACTTTCCTTTTGTTCTTTAACAGGGCAGTCAGCAAGCAGAGTGGAGAGTGGTGGGAGGAAGTATTACAGTATACGGCAAATGACTGGAACAATATAATTTAAAAAAAAGTCTCATAAATAAGTGGACTTTCTCCCTTCTTAATTCCTCCTAATTAATTTCATTTTGTCTTTATTTCAAGGCTTTTCTACCACTGCAAAAGCAAATGTTGATTTTCGTGTTAAATACTTGAATGTCTTACTGTCTTTTTTTTCCCCTCCCACTTTTGCAGCCCTATCGACAAACCTTCAGATTCCCTCAGTATAGGAAATGGTGACAGCTCCCAGCAGGTAAGACATAAAGATAAATGGTGTGAGAGTAAGAACTGAGTTTGAGGGCTTGGTGCAACTTGTAGTTGGAGAAGCAAGCACTTTCTGAAGTGTATCATAATTTTAAACAAAATTAAAAAATGCTACTGCTAAGTTGATTTTTATGTTTGACTTTGTACTGAGCTAAGTACTAACTAATGTAATTGCAGCCAAAAGTTTTGAGGGGATTTTTCAACTGTATTAGTGAAGAATATTTTATATATAAATACTTATGTCCTAATTGTTTCTCTTACTCTCTTGCCTGTAGATAACAAACAGTGACACACCTTCACCGCCGCCTGGTTTAACAAAACCCAATCCAGTCATACCCATCAGTTCATCTAATCACAGTGCACGGTCACCCTTTGAAGGGGCTGTAACAGAATCACAGTCGCTCTTCTCTGACAACTTTCGACACCCTAACCCCATCCCTAGTGGGCTTCCTCCGTTCCCCAGTTCTCCACAGACTTCAAATGACTGGCCCACAGCACCAGAACCACAGAGCCTCTTCACATCAGGTGTGTACACAGCTTATGTGGCTGGGTATTGCTTGCTTTTGCAACTGATGTCTAAAACTGTGTAGAACAAGAAACTCTGGGACTTGCTCTATACTGTTTTTTCTCCCTTCATGAATGATTAAAATTTGTCACTTAACTACAAACAAATTGCACTGACGTAAGCGTTTCTTCTAAAAGAAAGTTTACAGAGTTTTCTAGCTGCATGGCTAAATTATCAGAGTGCTTATTTTAGTTTTTCTTAGCTATGTGCCTGTCTAAATAATAGGATGTGACATGTATGCTTAGTATTTAATGTTAGAGGTGTTTGAGAGTGAAGAAAATACATGGTGACAGTGTATGTTGGTGTAATAAGCTGTTATAGTCTATAATTCTAACATCAGAAGCTGTGCAGTGGATTCCAGAATTTTCTTTAGTATCCTGCATAGTTATCTGAATGTGCCTAATCTTTCTTTTCCTGAAGTGAGACTACATACATTCAGAAAAGATAAAAAATGTGGTTAATTGCAATAACTGAAAGATACCTGTACTTGCCTGTGAAATGGCACTTCATATGGATGAAACATCATTTTATGTTTACTTGTATAGTCTTGGGAATAGTTAACAGTATCTAAAAGCTCAAAAATTATAAATCTGAGGCAGTTGTTAGAAAATGAATATCAGTAACAAATAGAATGTAAACAGTACTTTAGGTCATTGTTGGTTTACTTAGTGATTAGTCTTCTTTTGTTGTTATCTGACTTCTGGATGTCATAATCGTGTTTGTAAACAGTATTTATTATCAAGGAAATCACCTGCTGCTAAGGTACTATACAAACCGATGTAAGGATTAAGTAGTAGTGAGAGACAGTTTCTAGGTAGCAGAGATCTTGTTTGTTTCATAATTAATGTTGCTATTTAAATAAGAATACAAAGTGCAGGGTTTTATCTGTCTAGCAACTCTTTATCGTTACAGATTTTAGAGAGATTTCTTTTGTGAGAGAGGATACTGAGCTTAGTTTTAACTACTTAAATCAGCAGACCGGGTTTCCTACCAGCAGAGGGAGTTGATGTTGTGAGTGATACTGCCTTTGTACTAAATCAGCTTGCATTAACACAGTTTTGAGAAAGCATACTGTGAAACTAGACCCAGCATTCTCTGAACCTGAATAAGAACTTTAAACAAGATAACGAAATGAAGTAGCAACTGAAAATGCAGGGAAATTCTGATAACCGTTTTTTGCAATGTTGCCTCAAAATGTTTAACAATATCTTGTAATGCAGTGCCTTATTTCCTTATATTTTATCAAGGTGTCTGCTGAAGAATTTGACTTGGTTTTCTTCATAATGGTAGACAGTGGTGGTGTTCTGGTGTGGTGGTTGATTTTTTTTTTTTGACCACTTCTCAGAAGTTCCCCCTTTGAGAGGGAACATCTCCTCCCCACCTTTCATGCACAGCAGAGCTGAAGCACAGCATTAATACTGAAAGCAAAATACTGAACTGAATAACAACCTTATTTAAACTCTGCTTGGTCACACTTCTGTCAAGTAATAATGGGTGTAAAGAAGGTTCTAATCAAGTGTTTATTGGTCTCTTTCTGCTTGGTGCTGTTACTGAAATTGCTTATTTGACAAGGCTTTTCTGAGGTTCAGGAACAGGGCAGTTCTGCAGTTTTAAAATGCTATTTGCTAGTTCTACCACTTCACCTGAAGTAGAAATCTATGTCAGTTTGATCTGAAAATGGCATTCTAAGCTGATGAAAAAGGTGTCTTTGTGGAATGTATAAGAAAGTATTATGCAAAAGATAACTGACAACATATATTCAGATACACTGAGGGTGAAATTTTTATATGGATAAATAGTTAATAATTCTTGTTCTAAATCTGTTCCTCCCCTCTCCGACAGAAACTATACCAGTATCCTCCTCCACAGACTGGCAAGCGGCTTTTGGGTTTGGTTCCTCCAAACAGCAAGAGGACGACTTAGGGTTTGACCCCTTTGACATCACCCGCAAAGCCTTAGCAGACCTGATTGAGAAGGAACTGTCAGTCCAAGACCAACCTTCCCTCTCGCCCACATCTCTTCAGAACCCTACCCCACACACTACAACTGCCAAAGGGCCAGGCTCTGGATTCCTGCATCCTGCTGCACCCACAAATGCCAACTCTCTCAGTAGCACCTTTCCAGTCATGCCACAGAGGTTCCCGCAGTTTCAACAGCATCGAGCAGTTTACAACTCCTTCAGTTTTCCAGGCCAAGCAGCTCGCTATCCTTGGATGGCCTTCCCACGCAATAGCATCATGCACTTGAACCACACAGCAAATCCCACCTCAAATAGTAATTTCTTGGACTTGAATCTCCCACCACAACACAGCACAGGTCTGGGAGGGATCCCTATATCAGGTAGGTGAATCGAGGCAGCTGTGAATATAACTTAATTCCTGCTTTCAGCTACTCTGAGCCAGGGCAGGAGAAGGGAATAGACAGCTACAAGGGGTAGAGTGGTGTCTTTTGACTGTCATACTAGGTTTATGAACAGAGGGAGGAATATTATTTTAAGTAGGCCCTTTCCATTTTTTAAAAAAATGTATCTGGATGTTTAGCCTTGTAATATTGAGCTTTATAAGGAAGGTGGAGTATTCTGTGCCCGCTTAATTTTGTGCCAAAGCAGATTGGTATTTTGGTTCTTCAGTCTTGCCAGACTGGCTTTCCTCAAGAGCAGGCCCTGGAAGCACATTGTGACTTCCACGTTGACGTGCAGGTGCTGACCAGAGTTCTTGAAACTGCAAAAAAAAATTGTAACGATGGTAATTTGTGCCAGATGTCTTGGCTGGGTTATTCCCCCTTGCACATAACTGAACGGCTGCACAATAAAACATTCGGTGTTGTTCATTTCTGTACTTCAGATGGTCTCAATATTATGCTAATCTTTCACTGAATAGATGCTTGCAATATGTGTAAGAGGATCCATCCTGATTGTGAGAGTTGTGATGCTGGAGGAAAATAAATGTGCAGTCAGGCCAGCTCAGGCTGCCCTGAATGGATTGATAGGCTCTTGCAGCAAATGTTACAGCTAAGGAGCTAATTGTAACAATTGCCTTGATTAAAAATTAAACTTCTGGAGTTTGAAGTCCTTCCATGCTTCCGATTTAGCTTGGCCCAAACAGGTTCTCTTTTTCCTAACGGGAAAAAAAATTGTATTAAGTGTATATAATGAACTGCAGGTAGAAACTCTCTGTAAGCTCTTTGTAGTCTTGAGATGGAGAAAACTGCTGCTTGAGATGTTGCCACTGTTACTTTCTTTTCATGGGTTTTGAGAAGTACTAGCTATACTATAAGAAAGTGACCTAAAAAGTCACAGTGTGTTTTTGATGCTGCAGTGCAACATCTAATTTTGGCTGTTACTTCCCTGTACTTTGTCCTCTTTGAAGGCTTGTTGAAGCTACAATGCTGCTGTAGGGTCCTGAGGCTGACTCATGGTATAAACACTTGGTCCAGACTACAAATGCAAGTAGTTCAAAACTCTTTATACTGGCAGCAGCAAAGTTTTTAGATTAAAATAAATGGCTGATACTGGTCACACTGAAGCATAAACCAAAAAAAGCCCACCAAATTATTTTTGATGTGGAGTCAAAAATGCAGCATCCATAGCACTACAAATTGTTGCTTACTTTCTTCTAAACTACATAGAACTTCCAGGAGCGTTACAAGACATCAAGTTTTGACTTTACCCCTCAGTTCTAAAAATTGCTAGGTTGAGGAGCCCGTAACATGACTATCTTCTGGACTAGGGGGACCAGAAAAATACTGTAGTGTTGAAAAAGATCTGTTTGTAGTACAGGCTGATTCCAAGTTTGTGAAAGTATTCTTTAAATTGCATTACTTTTATTGGCAGTTTGAAAGTGGACCTTTTTGTGTTTGTAGAAGACTTGTAGATCCTTGGTATGACTTCTGAAGAGCCAGTTGTGTTGTGTTGCTTGATGCCCAGCCCATGCCATGTACTTTCTCCATATGTTTTAAGGCAACAGAGTTGATACTTAAGTATATCTTTTTTTGTATGCAACTGCTAGAACCAATTAATCTCAAAATATTTTTGGCAGATACAGTGCTAAAAACAGAAAATAAACATCTGCTGTAGTCTCTATGGAAAGTTCCCTTTGAGTTGGTCTTAATCTCTTGGTACAGAAAACATTGTTAGTTGCCTGGCTGACAATTAGCAGCAGTTGCTTCAATGCAAACACTTCTCAGCTGATCTATATGTCAGCTTTGATATATCTTGAAAAAGTGTCATTTGCACAAACACAGATTACTACTTTTTCTTTTCCTGTTGTCAGAAATCAGCTGGTCTCAGATCTAGTTTTGTTTGCTGGGTTATGGATTTGTATTATTTGTATGTTATTTAGCGCCTAGGGTTTTCTTTAGTGATCTTCAAAAGTATGAATAATTTAAAAGTCAGGAGATGCCCTCATACCTCTTTTTTGCGTGTCTGCTAACTTAATGGTTTCCAATTTATTGGTTATTCTGTCTTTTCAAATCTGTATCTAGTGTAGAGGTGTCTCAATGAATTCCTTTTATATTCTTCTTGAAAGAATAGCTCCTGTTCTTTATGCTTGTCAGTAGCAGGTGTATAATTACAGATTTTTTTCCCAGTTTCCTCATTTGATTTACAGATGCAGCTGGCTGGTGGGGCTGGGGGAGGAAAGTGGTATACAAGTACAGTGAAATCATGTTGCCTGGACTTCATTACAGTGCTTTGTAACAGACTCTAGCTGACCTGCTAGGAAGGCGGTGTGTATCATAATAGCTGATGAGCAGTATGGGGAGATAGTATACCTGAATCTCCTTTTTGTTAGCTCTTTTGTTAGTCTGTTTTAGAGTGTGTTAGAAAATGTCATTAGCTCGGCTGTTTCAGATGTAACAGCAGAAGAAACCTAGTGCAGGTGAAACTGCACATTCTGTCTTCTAGCAGAGACCCTCAACTGCTGTTGAAGTTGCATGTTTCCTAAGGTCTTTAATGACAATTTTTTTACAGGACTATGAATTCCTAAAGCAGCTAGTACTGGACTAGTCATTTTAAAAAACAAACAAACAAAATAATTTACTCTGAGAGTTTGCTCTATTTAATCAACCCTTTTCAACTTTTCTATTTCATTTATGTGAAAACAAGCAGATCTAACAACTTTTATAACTTCATATGAAGACAGTATACTATTTTATAGGCTTTTAAAATCAATTTTAGTTGATTTCACTGAGTGTATTTGTGGTTTGGAAGCTTGTATGAAGAAAATGATATCTTTTAAACTGCTGCTTCTGCTTTAGGTAGGCATTAGTATTCACATGGATTTGAAATGCTCATGTGACATGTTAAATGTAATGTTCTGAAGCTACCTTTTGTTCAGTCAAGAAACAGAGCTGTGCTGTATTCATAACCCCACAGCTCCAGGTAGGGCTGTCTTCTGATGTGCACCAGATTGAAATGGATGGCCATAGGCACTACCTACTTTTTTTTTTTGAGCTTGGATTTAAAAATAAGCTCTGTATGGAATTTGGTAACCTATCTTTCAGAGAAAGTAATATTTATTAAACTCATTCTGCAGTTTCCAGTGAAATGACACATGATTGAGTTCATAATTTTACTATGCATATATTTGAAATGTGTCATATTCATCAGGCATAGATTTGTCCCCAGCGCATACTTAAATGAACTTTTTGATTGACTGATTCCCAAACTAGCTTTTTTTTTCTCCCCCCACCTCATGATTTTGCAAACCGTAGCAGATGTTACATGTTCTCATTGTAAGGGACAATTTAGGCTTGTTGCATGGGATGGATTATATGATTTATTGTGTGATTATAACTGTGTAGCTGTGCTTCGGGGGAAAAGTTCAGTGACTTCTTATTCATGGACAGCATAATTGTTGCTAAAAGCAATCTTACCCTAGGTTGTGTGCAATTTATCCTAAGAATACAGGACAGCAGCTGTCCTTTATTCTGCAGGTAATGCCAGAGGAAAGATCCACTGACAGCAATGTGGGGGGTTGTGTGCCTTTGTTATTATGTTACTTTAGGATACCAGGAAACTCTTTTTGTAATTAGATAGCTAATGCACTGACATCTTTGCTACCCTACTGCCTGGTGGTGTGTTCTAAAATAATAGGTGTAGTGTTGGATTTGTGTCTCAGATTAACAGTGTTGTTTTGAGACAGATGCTTATAAAGTGAGATGCATGCATTTCTCATATAGAAATATTTAGTTTTATTTCTTGAGTGTACTGTGTGGTTGATAGTAATTTATTTCATTACATAGAAAAAACCATAAGAACAGATTCACAAGGCTAAAAGTATGAGGGGAAAAAGTTGTAAATGATGAGCCCTCCTTTCCCATCAGTTCTGTGCAAGGTGAAGTACTTGATATGTTGAAGCACTGGATGTTACTTTATTAATTTTAATCATTATTCTGAATATAATTCCAAACGGGAAAAAACTTAATTATAAGAACTTTATCCATTCAATAATAATGAGATAGTTTGAAATTTGAACTCTTCCAAGGCTAATGCTACAGAATATTCTATGCATGTTCTTCACACATCGATCATTGAAACCCTTTGAGTTGGAAGGGACTCACAAGGATCATTGAGTCCAACTCCTGCCTCCACACAGGACAGCCTAAAAATTAAAGCATACATCTCAGAGCATTGTCCGAATGCTTCCTGAACACAGACAGGCAATTTATGTATATCATGTGTATATTAGAAATCTAGGAGCAAATAGTCAAGTGGACACAGACAGGTAGGGGATGAAAAACATTTTACTTGTTGTCCTTGAAGATAACAACTGTAAAATCCTTCAAGTTATTTCAGCCATAAGGCCTATTGATGTGGAGATTGCAGTAGGCTTCTGTGAGCTGTTCCTGAAACCAAAACAGAGGGCTCGAATGTCTTAAGTCTTTGTAGTTGAACATAATTGACAAATCAGAATTTTTGTTCTCTCAAAACCTTTTTGTTTTGATGTTGTGGCTTGTATCTCTTGAATATGCACGGCCTAATTGATGGAATTATGTGTATTTAAAAGTGACACAAAGACATTAAGTAGGTAGATGGCTCTATTGAGTTTGGGTGCCACCCAGCAGTCTTTGTGGTAGTGATGTTGCATTCCTCATCAAGACACTGATTAGCATACACATTTTTGAGTCTTGCCTGCATTTAGGTTTTTGTGAAGCAATGGCTGGTAGTGGGACAAAGCAATGAAGGTTATAATAAGAAGGTCCAACTTCTTCCCACTTAGTTTAAGTCCTTAGCTCTTCCATATGTGAAGAACTTATGGTGTTGCATCTTCTTCTGCTTGAAATTTTCTGTTCTCTGTGCCCCAAGCTATTGAGCTCGTCTTGAAATTCAGATCCTGTCT